TATATTCTTGCGGATTTTAAGCACCTTCACGCCCACTCCTTATTTCGTCGCAATAAACCCTCCACAAAAGTATGTACGCGACCATCTAGATGTAAGTGCACGAATTACACATGGCCACAACATTTAGGTAGTGCACTCTTCGTATTTATTTGAAACGAGTGTGACGTCAGCGTTTGGCGTATACTTCCAATAAATCGTTCCGTCGGTAGGCGCTTAACTCCGGGCTCGCACTCAACATGGCGACCGACAGCGTTGTTTTGAACCGAGTTTTGAACATGGTCCATCGCATGGTTTCAGTATCCACCTAACGCCGGAAAGTCATGCTACCTCTCTGTCTCTCGTTCTCTCTCTGTCTCTCTTTATATTTGTCGGCCTTTATTGAATGGGGATTTGAAATATCATAAACTTAATGCAGCTAAGCGCTAAACCCTACGCGACGAGCAGACGACGCCTTTGTTGGCTCTGATTGAAAGAGGACAGTGTGTGGAGACAAAAGTAGCTAGCCTTTGCGTCTACCCCCTAATCCTTCCAATCAGAGCACGGCGTTCTAGCGTCATTTGCACGCTCTTATATCTTCCTCTCCTTCAGTTTCTCTCCCTATAGCTGAACGAAGTATCGATTTATAGCTCCGAATTCGAACGGAAATGGGCCACGAGAACAAAAAAGGTTCCGGAGATATAAGCTACCGAAATGCAAACAAGTTTAGCAAAAGCACTAACCACACAAAGCACAAAATGACCTCCGTAAACGCCCAACTCGCCAAAATGTAATTATGGAAAACAGACTAGTTACTTTAACTAAATAGATTCATGAGGTTTCGCCCCACGAGCACAACTAATCTTTCGCAGCGAGCACGGGAACGACGAAGTTTTAAATAAAGGCAACAAATAGGAAGCAGGGTTAAACTAGTTTCAATGTAAATCTATTCAACGCGAGGTTGTCAGGAGGCGGAAGTATGGGAGCGCAGTGTCGTTTGAGATTAACAGGACGGCAATAACTTGCACATACATTCATTTTGTCGCGTTCGTATAATCGCACTTCATGCGCGGAGCATTCGCTTTTATCCGACCCCGCTGTGTCTGAATTACGCTTTGGCAAAACCGCGAGCACAAACCAACAAAGTTAAAAAAAAAAAGTTTGAAAGGCGGAAGATTTATGTAATACAAACTAAAGAGCTTTGTCCTCCATGAATCGATGTCTGCGGTGCCAGCAATGGTCGTGGGAATATCGTGGGGACGATTGCACACGGTCACCTTCGGTTAATCCGACGTTATACTGACGTTGCCTAACCTTCCTGGTACCCTCTATGTGTAAATGCGAACCAGCGTACGTGAATCTGATATTTTCACATAAAATACGTCATAGGCCCGGCTGTGCCGGAAAGGACCAGCTGGAAATAGTGAGACGGAAGTGACGTCATTCGCTAAATTTAGCGAACCTACCCGGATGTGACGTCATAGATTTAGCGGACGGTAACCACGTGAGGTGGACACGTCACCAGACGACGCAATGACGTAATATATCGTGCAAAAATTTTGTGAGGGAAGACAGAAAAGGGCTGCAATGATATTTTTTTTTTATTGTGAACAATTTTTACAAGGAAAACAAGAAAAAGTGTATATAGCTTCTTTCGTTTTCGGTTTCGCTTGCACCAGAATGGCAATCAACAAACATTGTTGGCGGACATGTCAAGTATGCCTTGTTCGTAACCTATTTAATGGTTGATTAAATAGGTTACCAACAAAGTTAGGATGGTAACCAATAGGTTACCAACAGCAACCTATTTAATGGTTGACTGTAAAGACCATGAAACAACCGTGGACGATTGCTCTCGTCGCCAGAAGTCTGATTTGTTGGCGGAAAGAATAAAATATTTGTTTGCTGCGCGATCGAAAATTAGAATATTAGGTTTTCTCCCCACTACCACAAAGACCACCGCTTTGTGACCGTCGACTCGTCTTTTTTGGCCACCGAATCGTTTACCCTTCCTTCAGAAAAACGTTATTTTTCGTAGATAGAATTAGGAGAGCCTGTTGGTTAAGCACCTTGGCATGTGAACGCGAAGGGAGACAAGGGACACACAAAAACACGCCAGACACGGACAGCAGGGGAGGCTCATGCGTCAGGTAAGTTGATTAGAATCGTATGTGTAACTTGTGTCTAAGCTGCGATTGTTGATGCAAGGAGACGAACCCTTTGAGTGAACGTGCGAATTCAGGGAATCGGGCTTGCGCGGTTTGTCGGTGCTTACAGTGAAAAGTAAAAGAAAAAGCAAGCTTTGTTCCATTGGTAGGCAAGTTTTTAAGTAGGATAAATAACTTGTTGAGTGCTCTTTGTATCATTTCGTGGGAAATTCGATAGATGGTTTGAGGTTTCGAAAGGTCCTTCGAGTAAAGTTTTGAATTGAAAAGGGACCCAAAAAAAAAAATGATTTTGAAATATTTTTCAAAGCGCTACATTGCGGTATGTATCTCACTTATCGCGTTGTATATGTTTCCACCCTCAATGGGATCAATATTTAAAGATACCTCACTCACGAAAGCTTTGGAAAAGAATAAAGTTTAACGAGAACACAATTACGTACGGCAGCGACACTGACGCAACGCCAGCGAGTTATTGGCGTAACATTGCCTCTAATGTGCTTGGCTCCTTCTAATTATGCTAGTGCTCCATTTACGAGACTCTTGTTTCTCTTTTTCGCTGCGAATCGATCAAACGAACCTTGCGGCATGCGGGCCAACCTGGCAGTCGTCCAAAAAGTACGCGTAGCTGAATGCAATGGGCATGCCTGATCTAAGGAAAAAGCCGTAGTAGCTACCAGAAAGGCGAGTCGTCTTCGTTCATGTCTACGAAACGTTTTGCCCTAGCTTTCCGCTTCCGACCAAGCAAAGCACGACCGAATATTGTTCTATGATTGTTGATCTCATTTACCTGCCAGAAACCACCGGAACCGAAGGGTCAGGTGTGGGAAAGACCTGCGTCATCGTGCAGGGTGCCGCTGAGCGTGTACACTGAAATACACGGGGTCAACGTGAACGGGTGTACAAGGGTGTTCGGTGGCCGAGTGTCTTAGCGCACCCCAACTCGGACCATGTGGAGCGAAAGGATCGCGCCCCACTCCACGTCCGTTTCCACCTGGATGAGCATCGTATATTGTCGTGCGTTCGTGTAATCAGAACCGTGTGGTGCACATTAAAGACCTCAGACCAGCAGTCCTTGGCAAAATTTCTCATCTAGTGTGTAAGTCAGTGTCGTCATACTTAGAGGCAAACCGACTTTACGATGTCAATGTGGAACGCACGTTCGTCTGCTTCTTGCGCAGCGTTTGTTGTGACGTCGGAGTGCCAAGTTCTGATTGGCTTTGATTGGCAGGATAGCTGGTAGACCTCGAGGCAGCTAGCCTTGAGGTCTACTCCCTATCCTTTGTATCGGAGCCAATTAGAGCTCGGCGTTCTGACGTCACCACAACCCCGGAGCAAAAAGCAGACCAAGTTGCGCTCCGTACAGTCACAGATGAGAAAAGTACGACAGGGCGTCTCCTTCAGATGCCTGGATTCTAGCAGGCGCTCCTTGCCTTCCGTCGTGTTTTTGGCTGCGCGTGCGCATTAAAGGCTCACCAGACGCCGTGGCGTTATCAAAAAGTAGAAAGCTCGCGCTGTAGGTTGAAGGACTGAAGAACCTTCCTGTGGCTTTCATCCTGTCTGCGACTATGAACACGAACGCCTAATTTGAGTTTGCTTCGCAGGAGGTACGCGTCGCTTGTACACGATCAAGCTGCAGCGTTGCGACTGATAAACCAACGGTGAGCCGTTGGTGAAACCAACGAGATTATACGTACGTTTTGTTACACCCGAGCATTACACACACTGTTCGCGCCAATCGACACGAGCCAAGCGCCAGCTCGGCAGTCCTCAAAGAAGCGCTGTTAGCACGGTAGACGCCGGCAGCGCGTCTGCTACCGGGTATACCTTCTCACGGCAGCGAAGTCGCAGCCACCCCGATCGAAATGAGATCACCTCCGCCCGTTCTCTCGAATACGGCGAAGGGAGCGGCCCCTCACACACGCGGCTGGCAGGTCTAAACGGCTACACCGGCCCTTGCCCAGCGTATCTCCCTCCCCGTGGGCACCCTCACCATTGCTTCATTACCCTCCCTCCCTCGCCGAAAGAGAAAGCGCCAAAGCGCCTTGAAAGCGGAGACTCTTCGTCCCACGGTAACTTGGTAAACGGCGAAGGCGACGGTCCCGGTCGGCCAATCAGCGCGTCGTAGGGAGACACCGGACTATGTCCCTATCTAACTAGTCGCGCGCAGTGCTGTCGAAGCCACGGGTGGGAAAGAAGCGAAAGCAGCTTTTAAGCAAATTTTTGAGCCACAGGTTTAATCTCCAAGGAGCACAAAAGCGACGTCTGGGGCACACAAGAAAGGGGTTCCCCTTTCACCTTTCTCCAACTGCATGCGTTACGCTCTCGCGCCTGTACCTTTGGTAAAGGCTGTCACGTGTTTCGCCTCCGTCGCTTTGATTGGCTGGAAGAAGCCGTAGCGTTCACTCTATCTCAAGTCACGGTAAAAGCGGAGAGTAGTGACACCCCGGCACCGTGATGGAACGATATTGATCTGGAGGGGCCCCACCATTAGAGAAAGGCCCGGCCGCTTTGACCGTTGGTAAACCCGTTCCTGCGTGCGCTGCATAACTCGGGCACGCGGAGACGGTGGGGCGCACTTCCTCTTCTCGTGGCAATTAAACAGACTGAAGAGGGCTGGGGCACGCCGTGTCCACGAGGGCAGGGATAACACGGCGGCGGCGGCAGAGACGACCTTGGCTCGCCAGCCGGCAAAGAGGAGGAAGCCATGGGGTGGCACGCCCAAAGGCACCGATGGCCTTAGCGGGGCTATCCCCCTCTGCCAGATCATTGGCTGGCCGCTTCTGGACGCTGGGCCGGTAAAAGAATGGCGTGCTTCGTTTTTCGGGTATATAAGGCGGCGGCCTGGTCAGTGCAGTCACTAGTTCTTTCTGTCGAGTAGTTTGACTACAGTACACCCCAACCGCAGTACACCATGAACGCTCTTGTGAGTACCTCAGGGAGATGGGCTTGTATAACGGAAGTTGTCCGGAGAGTCTTGTGCGAGGATGACGCGAGGATACGTAAGACACTCTGGGCCTTCTGGTAACGCCCGCTTTGTTCGGGAATGGTTAAGAACTGTGTTGTGCGAGGAGTTAAGCCGTATGGAACAATTCTCTATTAAGATCATCGTTCGTACGGACTTTAAGCTGTACTTCTGGATACCATGATGTTAGCTGACAGAGAGAAGCTAACAAGAAACAACTTCTGGCTCTTGTGGCCTGGCTCACTGGTTGATTGGGGCTCTAGACGGCAACTGCTTGCGGCATTCTGAGATTTCCAAAGCTTGTTCGCTAAGAGGGTTATTCCGCAGACCATCTTTAAAATACCTGGCTTTGGGATGGTGCTTCAGCTGTCCTGTTTGCTTCGGGGGAACTTTTCCTTTTTAGGCTCCAAGAATTCTCACCTAGGGCTCCATCGCACTAGGAATATGGTTAACTTCATTTAACGAAGTTCGGTTCTTTGGAAAACAGATTAGATGAAACCGTGGCAGCAGATATACTGTTGACAGCATTAGCGTATATCCCAACCGACTAATATTTTCTTTCCCATCTTGTAGCTCGGCCTTCTCGCTCTCGTTTCTGCCGCGTCAGCCGGCTTCGTCGGAGGCTACGGCGGCTATGGCGGTGGACTCGCCCTCGGCGGCTACGGTGGATACGGTCATGGTGTTGCTCTCGCCGCCTCCCCCGCCGCCGGTGTTGCCGTGGCTCCCGCTCTCGTCTCCTCTTCCTACGGTTCCAGCGTGAACCACGGCGTCTCCACCTCCTACCGCACCGTCGGTCTCGGCTACGGCGGTGGATACGGCGGTGGCTATGGCGGTGGCTACGGTGCTGGCTATGGTCTTGGTTTCGGCGGTCTGCGTTATGCCGCCCCCGCCGTCGTTGCCGCTCCCGTCGCCGTGGCCCGCCCGGTCGCTGTGGCTGTCGCTCGCCCGGTCGCCGTCGCCGTTGCTCGTCCGGCTGTTGTGGCTGCTCCGGTCGCCGTCGCTCGTCCGGCTGTTGTGGCTGTGGCTGCTCCTGCTGTCGCCTACGGTGGCGGATTCGGCTATGGCGGCGGCTACGGTGGTGGCTACGGAGGCGGCCTCGGCTACGGCGTCGGTCTCGGTCACGGAGTCGCTCTCGGTGGAGTTGCTGTCGGCCACGGCGTCGGCTACGGCGTCGCTCTCGGCCACGGAGGTTATGGCGGCTACGGCGGCTACGGCGGCTACGGCTACAAGGGCTAGAGTATCAAGCTCCCGGTGAGTACTAAGACTCACGTACGATGCTTTCATGATTTGCCCAAAGCGTTGATCTTATCGCTCCTTTCGATCCCAACTTGGCATGCATAAAGTCACCTAGCAGAACGTAGCGGAATCTCATATTTCTTTGTCTTGTCTGAGCTTACCGAGGCCGACGTAGTTCACCATAATCTTACTTTACTCAATGTTAGCCCACCCATCAGAATTTTACATATCCTAAGCTGAGTTGTCCTACTGTAGTAGACCCCTCCAAAGCGCTATTGGGATCAAGGAAATATTACTAGTTATATAGAGATTTAATTGACCGACGAGACTATATGAATAGTGAGAAGAATTCGCGCTTCCAACTATCTCACATTACTCTCATCTAGAACTGCAGTTGATGTCGGCTTTAACTTAAGTCGAAGGGAATTCATTGCCTTCTAGAAATGTTCTGCTCTCATGCCTTTACTTAATCAAATACGAGTGATCTCGTTTTACCTGTGCTGCTTGAAACCGCTTACTCTAATATAATAAGAAACAAAATCTCCGCTTTGAAGTAAGAATCATCTTGGTAGAGATGATCTGAAATAGTGGTGATTATTAGCGTGGTATTGTTCGAATCAGTCACAATCGGTTAGTAGGATCATCTGATTTCTAGACTTTTAATACAACTAATTGAAACTCGAAGTCTTGTAGCACGATGTTTTAAGGCGTGTTTCAATTTATGTTTACAGAAACCATCACTCATAAGACTTGCACGAAGACGACGCCCTGTCTGGAGATCGACTGTTCTCGGGGGGCCTCGGCAAGAGAAGACTTAGTCCATTTATATAAACGAATCATATTGGTTTCCTTCGTCAATAAAGGACCTAATTTATTGCAAAACAAACCCACCGTGCCTTTCAATATCTGCGCACAGATCAAACGACACGGAGGCAAATATTGCGTCATGCCTATACCAACATCATTTGTCTGACGGAAGCTGACCTTGTATTATTAAACGCCTATGAAAGTGTCAGCCAATGCGCTGGCGGCTACCTCCAAGTTTCATTTGTTTTGCCGGGTGTATAGCCAGACTCGATTCAATAAGGCTGCATCCAATAAAATTGAAATAAATCAAATTGCAATCGAGTTTTAAGTATAGCTGAGTCGCAGAGCAGGGCTTGGTTCGATGAAGTTGCCTCAGACATAGCTGCGACCAGCTTTGGAACCAATAAAGCTTTAACTAACGTTGACACAAATTAGGTTGTATAACCAGATCCCGTTCAGGACAGTTGCAGTCAAAGTTAAAACCGATTAAGTTGCATAGAAGAAGTGCTGGGTTCAATAAAGTTGCACCCGAGAAAGTTACAACCAAAGTAGGTCCAATATAAGTGCAGCAAAAGGTAAAACCAATTAGTTTATATAACAGGTTTTGGTCCAGTAAAGTCGCAGTCAAATTTACAACCAGTGAAGTTGTACAGCACAGCTGTCTTCAATAAAGTTGAATTCCATGAAGTGGCACCCGTAGTTGCAAATAGAATTGCAGGCAGAAACTTCAACCAATTAGGTTGTATATAGGACTCGTTTCAATAGTGCGTCTAATAAAGCAGCACTAATGTTTCAATGAAATGTCGAGATGCATGACCAAATACGGTTTGGTTCATGTTGAACATGAGCTTCAGCGAGCAGCATAATGGGCCTGTACTATGCTGAATGTGGTCATAAAATATTACAAGGGGCCTAGAGCACACAGTGCAGTTAAAGCGCAGGAGTCAGAAGGAGTTTGTTTAATCAAATTTGAACCCCCCAAAAATTAATAAACTGCGACTTCTTGCTGTTCACTAGAGAGGCTTGGTGTTTTACCAGAAAATCACAATTCGTTGAATAAAGGTTCGCTCATGACGTTATAGGCAAAACTCCCAATTCACGTCAATATGAAAAAAAAAAGCGCCCAAGGACCATGTAATTGAAAAAAGTATATATATTTTTCCGTTACACATTTTGGTGTTCATTTTGCGACAAAGTAGATATTCAAATTTCATCTCAAGTTGTACATCGGGTAAAATCTCTCGAGACTTACTGCGCCAAAGTTGTTTCTACACGTAGATGCACTATACTTATCTCAATAACACGGACCTTGTTCGGACGCACTGAATTACTCCAAAAGGCCGCTTTTTCACACATTCCGAACTCAGTAGAGACATAGTGTGTTCTAGTCAGAAGTTTGAAAACTGTAGCAAGCATATTGTGTACTTGACCCTTGGCCCGTGACGTATTACGCTCCGAATTCTTGCTTGGTGATTTTGCGTCTGGCGTAGTAATGCCGCAACCAGATTGGTTGCCGAGCGACAGTAATAATGCACCGAGTTGATCACGCCCCTCTTTTCTTATACCCTCAGTGGCTATAATGCTAGCAGTGCTTTTGTTTTCGCGCCTGTACTCCTGCTCACTTTAATAACCGCAGTAAATGAGGTCGGGCTTCTAACGGAGTGTCACTTATTGTCCCCCTCATTTGGTAAATTAAGATTCTTGCGTGCGCATTTAAGGTGAGTTATTCGTTATTTAAAATATATTCACAAGCATTTCACGCGCGAGCATCGTCTTTGATCTCTTACTGCCAAATATTCCGAGTACCATTTCGCACAGCGTGGCAGCTATGCGCAAAACGTGTTTATTTTCTCGGGTAACGAGTATGGCCTCAGGGCGGCGAACAGGGGGTGCCTCAGTCGGCTGCTCGTCAGCGCGGCCGGTGATGAAAAAAAAAAAGAGGAACTTTGGGCAGGCCGTGCCACCGAACGATTGCACACCGGCGCTGCGTCGGAGCTCGGCGGGGAAATCGTACATCCGAGTGTGGGTCAAATTTGTAACTCCGGTGCCGCAAGCCGCACCGGAGTTACAAAACGTCCGCATAGGATGGCGCCACCTGTCGAACCAAGCTTCCTTGCCTGGTCGGAGAGGAGATTCAACCGTGGCGCCCCTGGCGGCTATGTTGATAACTAAACCTATGGGGACAACAACAACGTAAATGATTCGTGTGCGGTTATGACGCAGCACTCGGCTGATCTATCCGATAACTGCGTCAACCTTCGGCGGTGGCTCGTACTCAATCAGCGATGCAGCAATTGCGCACGAATGCCATCAGAAAAAGCTGACGCGGCACCCGTATCCAATTTCTACCCCGCGCTCGATCGACACAGATAACGAGACGAACTCAGTCCAGAGCAGACTTGTGCCTATCTCAAATACTCTACTGGGGATACTGTATTTCAAATACTTTTTGAAGTGTCTTGGTATCTTGCAAATACTTTTTTTTGATCGTGAGCGTTTGATACTCTATTTTATTTACATTTATGAATATCTTGCACTCAGTATCTTAAATAAATTTTTGATATTCCGCCATTTTCGTGTTTTTCGGTATGAAGTGGTGTGAGTGTGGCATGAACAAACGTGAACAATCTTTCGAGCAAGCAAATCCTGTTCCTAGCGAAACCTACTTGAAGAAGGTGCGACCAGTGCTTTGGCTATTATGCGAATTCTCTTTGTTATCCATTCACTCATATTCGTATAAGCGCGGTAAACGAATTTTTATCGCGCTGCGAGTTTGTTTCCAGGGAGCGGACTCCTCTTTTGCTCATTCTTTCAACTTACCATTCTCGTAAGTGCAAGAACTTTGTCGTGTGATCTAGTTATAGCACCTTTTGTACCCCCGCGGGTACAAAAGGTGCTCCGCGTGGCGGTCCGGTGTCAATCTCGTCCCAGCGCTCGATCCTGCTGTTTCGCCGACATCGACGCCTGCGACGCTAGTTTTTCTCTATTTTGTTTTGGGAACAAGTTCGCCCCATTTAACGTTTAGTTTCTTCAGTTATTCGCCGCCTCATCATTTGCCATTCGTGACAATATCCTGATCCTTATAGTTGGACTGCATAAAATAGCATTACGAATATTTTTTTGCCGTTTTTCTTTGTTACGTGCTAATAAACCATTCTGATAAATCATATTTATGCAACTGTACAATTGTCGTTGTCACTGACGTCGATAGAAATTACGCAAAGTGGAAGTATCTTCAAAAGTAACTGAAATACATTTCTTAGTATTTGTACTCTACTCAAGATACTTTACAGTGAAAGTAACTTGAGTAGTATTTTAAATACTTTATGAAGCAGGTATTTAGTAAATTAACTTAAATACTTTATCGAGTATTTTGTCTAACACTGGTCTACAGGCCTTGTGATGAGTAAACTCCGAGACAAAGCGCACCTTACAGTTCCATCTTCTCGCCAATGGGACGATTGGCGAAACGAATAAGGAACCACTAAATGCCCAATAGTCTCTCCCCCCTCCCCCCCTTTCCCCTTCCCCCCTTCCCCGAACCGCCCCACCTTTCTCTGATCGCGGCAACGAGGGGACATGCAGATGGAATGCGAATTTAGGGCGCAGTCTGCTCTAAACATATTCGAAGCATTCAGCTTCTCCAGGCTCCTGCGACATCTGCTCGGCCGTGGGTAAGGCAAGATTACAGATTATCCGCCCCGCCCTCGCTCGATTGTGTGCACATTAAGGCCGTAGCGGAAGTGTAGCGTTGGTTATTTCGTCTTTGATTTTTCTTTACCATAAATCGTGCTTAGAAAGACGGGCTCGCGGACCGGTTAACCCCATTCTTTCGACTTCCTCTTATCGATGGGACGCGTGGATCCACGATATCTACACTATGCAGAGCGAAAGTTCGTCTGCTTGTTGGTTAGGGGTTGCGATGATGTCAGAACGCCGAGCTCTTATTAGCTGATCGAGAAAAAAAAAGTAGTGGGTAGACCTCGAGGCACCTGGCATTGAGGTCTACCCCCTATCGTCCCAATCGAAGCCAATCAGGGCTGGGCATCGTTCTGACGTCACTGCAACTTCTGCGCAAGAAACAGACGACTTGCTCTCCGAATAGTCACTGACAGCGAAACGCAGCGCGTGGCTTATAATTGCGGTTCACTGTTTCCGGGGTTTATCGGTACCTTGTTTCGACTTATATACCGGATATTCGGTGTTTATCGGTATCAATATGCACAATATTTAAAAAACATTGACGTTTATCGGGGTTTATATCGACGAAAACAGGGCACGGACGCGGGATCTTCGAACCTCCAGGGAACATGCGCTTGACCTGAATACTTGAGTATTGTCTCGGTACCGATAAAAGAAAGAGTCGACACCATGGACCGGTTTGCTGATCGATGCGGATATCCCATTCCTCCTGGCGGTTAGCTCACGCGCAAGAGGGATTTTGGGGTCACGTGACCGACCCCGCGGGGAGAAAGTGCGTATACGTTCCAGCCGATTCCTCTCAGCAAACGTAAGTCTAGTCATGTGCGAAGGGTGGATTTTGAGTTCGAAGTGAATGCGAAGCAAATAGTGGCTTTGGTCGAATATTGTCGAAGCGAATATTGAATAGTTTATCCAAGCCTTTCACTATTGTTGCACCATGCTTAAAAAAAAGAAGAAAAAGAAAAACAAACAGCTAGACTCGTGACAGTTGTTCCCAAGCTTGCACTTGTCCATTTATAAGCTAATTTTAATCTAACTATATTTATGGTTTTGTTTAACCCGAGACTGGGGTATTTCGGAAAAGGGACGAGAAGAAAAGAGACCACAAGGAGGCGACGTCTTGAGACGTCGCCTCCTTGTGGCCTCTTTTCTTCTTGTCCCTTTTCCGAAATACCCCAGTCTCGGGTTAAACAAAACTATGGTTAACTTCCACCAGCTCGCCTGCACCCTTACAATTTTTTCACTATATTTATGGACTGTGACTTCTGAAAGTTTTATGTTGGGATGGCAAGTAAACGGCGGATTTGACGTAAAATTAAACCGATAAAGATGCCCAGCTGTACCTGATTGAGTGAATTTCCGAACCTTGTTAT